CCGCGTGTGGTAATCCCCTGCCGGAGTGGTAGGGATATCAGAAACTAGTTTGAACTGAACTAAAAAAAAGAACTGAAGACTGATTGAATTATTATTTTTTGGACTGAATCAAACTGATTCTTTTCGTCGAACTGATATTTACATTTGGATTTGAACTTGAATTTAAAGTGCCATACTTTGATTTTCATATGTTTATTTTCTGAATGTGATTTGAGTAATTGTGGTCCACTTGATTTAAATGTGTTTGAAGGTATTTTGCAACCTGTAAAAGAACGGAAAAGAGTTAACTCAGGAAAAATTTAAATCTTAAAATAGGTGCAACCTATGAAAAAGAGACTGGTCTAATTAATTCAAATTAGTCTAATTAAAATAACCTAGGTGAACTAAAGAGCAAAAAGAAAGAGTGATATATTCTTTTTTTTTCCTTCTCCTTTTTCCTCCCCATTTCTACTTACCTCATTATTAAGAATCTGCAGAGTATTTTTGGTTTCATGTATTGTATTTTATGTGTGTTTTGCATTCATTAAATTGCCGGCCGTTTTCACTTAAGCAGCGGTCTCTGGTGCTATTATTTTGCTCCCCACTCCTTAGAGCCTAGAACTGGTCCAGTGGCGCAGTTAGTGGTGTGATACCGGTGCTACATAATACTACGTACAGTATTATAATACTACTTTTTAGACTAGTCGTTTTCTGATAAAAAATACCTTTGAGGAAATGCATTTTCGGATAAATGAGACTGTCCTACTTTTAATCTTAAAAGATGACACAATTCTTTAGAAATGGTTGGACTATGTTTTTGGAAGCAAGCCTCCAACAAAAAAATGGTTATATTTGTTTGGGCAACTTTAGAGCTGACAGCTTTGTGAACAAAAAGGTATTTGATGGTGGACTAATAGAAATATTATCATTAAAAAACACTCAGAAGTACGCAAACACCTTTGTCATGTGCATAGGGAACCTGAGACAAGACTCACATTAATTATTAGCATCATTGTTGTTAGTCAATGACAGAATGACTGCAGCAGATCTTACAAAGCTGAAAAGTCTTGTCAGAGCCTCTGTATTTGTTCCAGTTGTTCAGTAAATATACAATTAGAGTTGAAATTAGAAAGCTATGATACAACATTCCTCTTAACAAGTGAAGGGGACTGTTACTGGATTTCAATATAGAATTATACTATATACTGGGAAACACATAATACTTGCCCTTTAATATGAGGGAAAAATACCATATTCAAATTGGAAACTTTTTATAATCAAAGAAGCACCTCCATAAAAGAACAAGCAGAACAAAAACACATCATGACCAAATATTTAATTTCAAGGTTCTTTAAATATGATATAATAAATAATTCCAGAAAGCAGGCTATCACTTAAAACTTTTCCTGTGTTACATAACACTGTGATATCAGTTTCTGCATGGATGATATAGTCAATGACGCTCTCTTTAACACCTTCCAGAAGAGATACCCACTCTGTGTATACTATCTCTCCTGACAAGGGAAAATCTCTTTTCAGCCAAGACGTGAATTAGTTCTGCATAGGGATGGGCGATAATTCAATAACGATATATATCGATTGATAGACGTGTGGCGCAATAGAAAAAAAGAGAGTCGATAAAAGTTCGATAAAGAAACGCAGTTTTCCTTCCTTCTCATTGTAGCCTATCATTTAGGTTTATGCTAGTCACTACTTCCTCCCAACCAATCGCAATCGCAGACCCAGGCACGCCGTCACAAAGCGCCGCCCTCTCAAACCACAACACAGAGCACATGAAGATGTCGCAGCAAGGAGAGGCGGAGGAAACTGTTCTAAAGAAGGGTTTTTGTAGTTCGCCAGTTTGGCAGTATTTCGGTCATGGCAAGTCAGAAAAAAAAAAAAACCACAGTCATCTGTAAAATGTGTCGGGAACCAGTGAAAACTAAGTCTGGTAACACAACCAACTTTTGTTTTTTTTAATCATCTCAGCCGCTCACACCCGCAGGAGTACGAGCTGTGTAGGCCCCGGCGCGGCTCTCCTCCGAAGAAATCTTCGGGAATTTCAGGGGGGAAAAAAGAAAAAAAAATATATATATATACATATTTCAGTTCTGGGCAGCTTCCCACGTAGTTCTAACAATCGGTCTCCGCCAAGTGACGTCAATTGTTTACCTCGGGCGCGGTACACTACGCCTTTTCTACCTAAAATGGCGTCTTAGCAACAAATGTCACGTGACTGGCGGAGACCGATTGAGAGAAAAATACTGCGGGGCCAGAAACTTCAAAGTAATAACTCAGGTTAAAGCAGCTAACTAAGCTGAACCATAACGAGGTGCCAGTAGCACCTCTAGAAGAATAGGGGTGAGAAAAAAATACCACATAGAAATGCTAGGCTAAAGGGTGAGTTGATTTTTGTTTGGGTTTTTGTTCTTGTTATGTGGAGTTTACATGGAAGCCTAGTCCTACAATCTTTTAATTACCACAAGCTGGTGGTGTACTATTCCCCCCAAATAGGGTATTCTATTTATTTATTTGTTATATTTATTTTGGTCACTTTTCTGGTCACTTTAGTTTATTCTTTGTCAGTATTTAATGACATAACTCAGGTCTCTTAAGTTATTTTTCTTTAAAACAATTCTGTTGTGGTTAAAAAATTTGGTTAAATAAATATTTAATTGGAAGTCTGTGTTTGTGTTCTTTATTAAAATTAAATCCTTTAGCAATATCATAAAAAGTCCAGGCAGATGTTCAGAGAACATCAGGTTTTAGTAGAAAATCCACAGAAGTCTTTGAACATTAAGCACAAAGTCTAAATGTCAAAAAGAAGAAAATAAGAAATAGTAAGGATTAAAGTTTGCAGGAATGATACTGATTATTTAAATAAGTGACTTGGGAGTAGAAGTAATTATGGAAACCCTTAAATTGTTGTTGTGAAGGTAACTCTACAATTGTATGGCGACAAAGCATTTCTTCTTTTTTTAATTTCCTCCCTTAAACAAAGATTTATAGAGAAATGTTAAGACTGGAAGTGATGGCTGTTTGAGTGCAGAGAAAAACCTGAGAAACTGAAGTAAAAACGAGAAGCTAAAGCTTAAGGTTTTTTTTAGTTCCGCAGGAGGTTCTTATTGAGAACAGGCACTGATGTTTTAGATAAAAACATGTCCTTATGTGGTGAACGATAAATATGTGTATTTTCCAGGTTCTTTTTGGTATTTTTTAGATTTTGTGATCTAGCATTGATAAAGGCAGCTGTGCAATGAAAAATAATCAACTTTTATCTTATTTAGTTAATGGCTCTTAGCTCTGTGTTAAAACACCCTTCATGAGATGACTTTATGCAGTGGTGAGAAAGAGCTGACTTCCTCTTTACAAACCATGAAGGATGGAGACGCCTTTAAATAACACATCTGGTAACAGAGAAGGCTGCTGTTTATTCTGCTGCTGATCAACTGATCTGAACAGATCAACTGGTTTGAAAACTAAACTGTTTTATTTTTTACTGAAGAAATTCTGGTGAGTTCACATTTCTGACTCTGATCATTTAACCAAATATTTCAACAGGCTTTTTCATATTTAAGTTTAAATATTTACAGCACATTGAAAGCTGCTTGCTACGAGCTGAAGGTCTAATTTCAGATCCACTGTAATAAATCAGCTAAATGTTTGTTTTCCAGAGTCTGAATCTGATGGCAGCTCTGTCTGAGAACCTGCTGACAGTCAACATGATACTGAGTGTCTTCTTTCTTCCAGGTGAGCTGTTTGTTCACTTCCTTTCATTTAAATGTATCTTTTTTTGTCTGAAACATTGTATCCTGATGTTGTTTAAAGGCTCCACATGTTACAAGCTGCAGCTGAACTGGAGTTTATGGATCATGAAGATTCTAAGCAGGCAGATTTTGCTCCACATCATGTTCATCATTTGTCTGTTTTTACAGCTACTTTGGCTGGTTGTGGTGATATAAAACCAGACCTCAGAATCACTACACCAAAGAAGATTGAAGCTCTGAATGGATCTTGTTTGGAAATCCCATGTATCTATGATACAGATGATACCAGATATAACAGCAGCAGAACTATCTATGGAGTTTGGATGAAAGGTGGTCACAATTTTGGCCCTGATCCAAAGATAGTTATTTTCCACAGCAGTGGGTCAGTTAACACCTATTCACTGAATATTACTGGAAACCTGAGAGAGAAAAACTGCACCACTCTGTTTCCTGATGTAAAGACCAGTTATGCAGACAGATACTTCTTCAGGATTGAGAGCGAGCCGTTCAAAGCATCAGCTTGTGATGATCCTCTCAATATAACAGTTAAAGGTAAGAGAATTTCAATATTATAAGTCTATGACATTAATGTTCAGAAAAACTCACACTGGTTTAATAGAAATTAACAGAAAACACACTTACATGTGATGTAGTGTTTATTCAAACCTCATGAATTTAGTCCAGTATCTTTTTTCTGCTTAAAATTATTTTTGTTACTGATCTTCTTCTGTTTATCTTGCTGCAGCTGAAACATTAGAAAAAACTCTCTATAGGGAATGTATCAAAAAAGTTGAATGCGGTAGATTTATTTAGCCTGACTCTGTTTAGAGAAGTAAACCAAATGTCTTAATGATCTAATTAGACAAAGTTAATGGACCATTAAATCAAATACTGCCAACATTTTTGACACAATCAGTTGATAAATATTTTCAATTTTCTTCTGTGTCTAAAAAAAGATGATATATAAACAGCTTAACTTACTAACAGTCCACTGTTAAACACATTTGTTTTCCTGATTTAAATTCCCAGATTCTCCTTGGAGTCCCAGCATTAATATCCCTGTTGGTGATCTGAAGGAGCATCAGTCTGTCACTATAAGCTGCTCAGCTGTGACTCCCTGTCCACACTCACCTCCTGAACTCACCTGGAATCTCCAACAAGACTCTGACAGACAAACAGAGAAAAAAAAAGATGGAACCTTTACAACTAAAATCCAGGAGACCATCACTCTGTCAGACACACATGATGGATACAACATCAGATGTTCTGCCAGATATCCTGTGAATGGAGGAAGCAAGACAGCAGAGACAGAAGTGACTCTCAGTGTTTCATGTTAGTGATCCTGTCAGCACGTCATGGTTCAGCTGTTTCTGATCAATAAAGTTAATGTGTGTCCCATTTTCCTCAGATGCTCCTAAAGACACCTCAGCATCCATCAGTCCATCAGGTTTGGTGTCAGCAGGTAGCTGGGTGGAGCTGAGCTGCTCCAGCAGAGCCAAGCCTCCTGCCAGCTTCACCTGGTTCAGGAACAGCAAACATGGAGCCATTAATGTATCTGTGGGGCAGGTTTACAGCTTCAATGTTACTGAGGGAGGAGAGTATTACTGTGAGGCTACAAATAATCTGGGGACTCAGAGATCATCAGTGATTCTACTGAACAGTGAAGGTATCAAGAATCAATTTAACAGCCTTTATTTTTTCGTTTTTTTACATTTGTTGTCATTTTAATACTTCGTTTCTCTCTGATTTAGCTATAGGAACTCCTCTCTTGGTCACAGTCATAGTTGGAGTCATTTTGTTCATCATTCTGGTTCTTTCTCTCTGGTAAGTGTCAGACATTAAAATAACAAACTTCATTTAGATGATTATAGTGAGGTTTTTATTAACCCTCCAGATAAACATCTGAACCAGCTCCTTATTGAGGTTGTGTTCAGTTGATTCTGGTTCTGGTTGTTTTGATGTTAATCCTCTCATGTCTGTTTCAGCTCAGTCTTGACTCTTTCAGTTTTAATCTTTCTGTTTTCTCCTGAATCACAGCAGATTTATTTTTTACAGATCTTAAATGTCTTTCAGGTGCCTTAAGACCAAATGTCAAACTCCACATCAGACCCAGGTGAGGAAATGTTCTGTGAGCATCACTGAAGTAAGTTTTCCTCTGCAAGCTGAAACAGTATTTTCCTGAAACAAGAACATTTTCATTTTCCCACAGAGTCAAATATATCAGGAGGTTTCTGATCAAATTGCAGCCAATGAAACAGAGGAAGAACTTAATTATGGGGACATTACTGTCCTCCAGAAACGACCTGAAGCTTCCTCTGTCTCAGTGCAGGACGGTGGACAGCAGGAGACAGAGTACGCTCAGGTTCAAGTGTCTACTGACCATCCAGAGGATCTCTATGCACAAGTGAAGAAGCAATAACTTCATTCACTGATGTGTTCTGAAATGAGAGAATGTAGTTTTTGATTATAGAAATGTTAGTCTCTAAATTTATTAATATCTTTGCCATGTTTATTTTGGTTCGACTGTGGGATTAGCAGCTTTTGCTTTCATTACAGCTGTGTGACCCACTTTAAACCGAAGAGCTTTAATTTGATTGGTGGATTCAATTTCATCATCATTTCTTATATCAGTTGTTTCCTACAAAAGAAAAATACTGCAAACACAAAAATTAGACAAGATCATGGTCAGATGCTTAAAAAGACTTTAAGGCAGATTTGCTTTCTTTCTCCTCTCCAACATTCTTCTGAGCATCCCATTTTTGAAATACAGCAGCCAAGTCTCCAACATGGATGTAGCTGCCATTGCATGAATCAATTTGTTCTCTCCACCCAAGCAGAATCAGCAGGACCTAAAGCTATTTAGGACCTGCAGGCCTTTCATTTGTTTGAAGGTGAGGGGCCTGTGTGGCCCATTAGGTGTTGTGTGGGCTCTAGACATGCCTATCTGAATGGTTCCCAGACGTTTGGCTTTTTACCACAAAAAAGCAATAAAAGGGTCCTATGACTCAAAATAGCAGTTGGATTACAAACAATTCTAAAAAAAAATATTTGAATAGCAACAACAACAGCACAAAAAAATTATTTATTTGGGGTTATTTTTTTCTTTTTTAAACATGCTTCACCACTATCATAATTTTATTTGGTTTCATTTCTTTTCATTTCTGTAGAGGATCCCAAGAACCAAAACCTTTTGAACCACAATCCCAAGTAGGGTCACAACTTCAACTTTTGGAATGAATGCTCTAGCATTTCTTAACTCTGAATACTTAATGCTATCTTTATATATTATTACAGAGGTTCGACCATTTGAGCAGAATCTATTCAACAGAACCTAAGAACTAAATAAATACTATTATATCAAGGTTTGTAGAGTATCTAACAGCTTTTATTCTGTTAGATGGCATGTAGAGAGGCGAGATCATCCAAGCACTGCTAGGATCAGTCAGGTTTAATGGGAGGGCTGACAGAGTGATTGGGACCCTACCAGTTAACCCTGAGCTGAGGGTATCTGCTGGTTGGGAGGAACTAATGTTAGCCAGGTTTACAATAACCAGATAACCAGCTGAAAAGAATAACATAAAAGTGAACAATTTCAGCAATAATGAGTCTTTCTGGTGAAACTGCAGCTTTCAGCTGCTAACAGATTGATAGAATTAACATCTGATTTTTTACATTAAATTAAATACCAAAAGCAAAGTTTAAAGAAAACATTTTTCAAAAACAAAGTGCTCCTATTTCACCACTTCCCCTCCATTAACCAAAGGGTAATGAAATGTTCAGATTGAACTGATAGCTGCACAAAAAGGTGAGAAAAAAATGAGAAGTTAAAGAAATAGAAGACGCTGGTTCTAGTAGTTCTAGAGGAGGTTCACAGTAACAAAAGGCACAGAGTTTTAAATGAAACACTTCCTCATAGGCTGATCAACTGCTGTGTGCATTTTCTGTGTACTTTTTGTGTTTCTGTTTTTTTTATTTGTGATCAAACTCAACCATTCTGACCAAATGTAAGCAGGAAATAATCAGTTAGCATCATATTCAGTAAATTGCTCTTAAGTTTGTGCTGAATTACACCTCTTAAGATATGTTAATTACTTTAAGATAACGAGAAGGAGCTGACTTCCTCCTTCAAAGGCCGTGAATGATGTAAACTCCTTTAAATAACACATCTGATGGCAGATAATGTGGCTGTTTATTCTGTTGCTGATCCCTTTTATTTCCATTTTCTTATTCTTAAAATTTAAAGTTACACTGGTGATAAAAGCCAAGTTTTCATTGTTGGCAAAGCAAAAAATAATATATATATATAATATATATAGTATTATATATAATATATATATAATATATATTTATACAACTGATCTGATGTACATCCCCTCGATTGTAACACAACAGATGAGCTAACAAACTAAATATTTTCAGGGACTCATTTAAACCCTTAATGTTTACTAATTCTTTCATGTATTCTGTATTTATACCAACAGGTTGTAGTGCTAGCTAGTGATGGTAACTATGAAGCCCCGTCAACTAATTTCATACAATTTGCCAAAACAGTGCATCATGCTGTATCATACATTTGATACAACCATGAATGTCGGCATCTGCTGGATAGCTACGAGAACTACAACTCGTTTGTTCCATGATGATGATAATATAAATAAATAATTTTGAAAATAAATATCTGATCTGTTAAATTGAAGTGTATTAATCCTTCTGATGCATAATGGCTATATGATGGTGTGAATGGTTAGCACACATTACTTGCACTTGGTAGAATTTGGGATTGAATCTTGCCTGGATCCTCTACTGTGTACCTAATGAAGTTCACATATTTTTTTTTATTTATATGAATTAGGACCCTTGTTTGCCCTTTATAGCCCAATCTTAAAGTGGGCTGCACCTACCTTTAAATATACACATTAATAAATTATCCTTTAAAGAGTTAACCTAATCTAAGCTATAATCTTGAGCCTTATTGTTTATTTGTATTGTGTGACTAAATATCTGTCATAAATGAATCCCTGGATAAATGCGGTGGCTATAGGTGTGTGTGTCTCTGTAAGTCTGTAATATGTGTCTGTCTATTTCAGGACTGTGTGTAGATAGCAAACCAATCTGAATAAATATTAAACTAGATCTAAATATATATATATATTTTTTTACCGTCTTTTAGTAAAACTGTAAATGGAAAAAAAAAACTTGTTCTGAGCCGTGATTCTGATGCAATTTAAATACTTCCGTAGTATTGAAATTATTCACATTTACTGTGAAGCTCGGCATAGAGTGTGAAGTAACAGGGCCTCACTCACAGTGGTCATGTGACTAGAGTGTGCTCAAAACACTCAGTGACACTTCTGTATCACAAAGGTCGAAGCTGTGTCGAGGAGACTGATTCAGGCCTAAGATCCAGGGGCACCGTATGGGAGGGGAGTTGGGAAGATTCTGAGAACCCTCGACTGGGGGGGGGGGGGGCAAAAAAAGAAGAAAATATATGTCCTATATATTAAAATATAAAAAGAAAATCCAGCAGTAAAATAAATTATCTTTGTGTTCTCCATCATTTTTCACGAGTAAACAGCGACATAAAGGATGAAATTGCAATAAATACTTTGGTCCCCGGGTCCTACATGCTGCATCAGGTCTCCCCGTCTGTCAGTTTGCAGACCTGGACTAAAGAGCGCTAAAGTGCGCACGTTATTTGACATAGTGATAACGAATGAAACAAATGAACAAGAACATGTGTAAATAAGCAGCAGTGTGGAAAAGTCATCAGCTGATAAAAATGCAGTCCCCCCCCCAAAGTCTGGTTTTCGAAAATTAACAAAAAGGAAGGAGGAAGAAAGTGACCCTGTTTTTCAGAAAGGTTTGTTACCTGAAGAGTTCAAATTAACGAAAGATTATCAACCTGTTGAGTGAAATAAGATATCTATCAGCTGGCTACAACTACTTAATAATGCTACTCTTAAACGGGAAATGATGCTAGTTTTTTTTTAAATATTATTTTGTTTAGTTTTTATTTTTAAAGAACAATTAGACAAGGATTGATCGACCATTTAATGAGCCTAAAGTTTTAGTTTTATTGAAAGGATCCCCATTAGCTACAGCTATGCTGCAGCTATTCTTCCTGGGGTCCTGAAAAAATATATACATTAAAAACAAAACTAAAAAAACCATATTAACGTACATATGTACCCTCATGCGGGTGTGATATATGACAAATATAAAACACATTCTACACTTACACCTGTAAACATACATACACATACATATTCACACACATATAAATATAAACATTCAGTTATATTATTTTGATAAATGCTGTTTTACATATAATTTGAATTTATTGACATTATTAGCAAGCAGGATATGTTTTGGCAGATTATTCCATTCTTTCATACCTCTGAACACAACAGTATTTTTCATGGCATTTGTTCTTACTATGGGTAAAGTGAAATTACCTTTAGTTGCATGTCTAGTACTGTACTGATGATTTACTACACTGAAAGAAAGATGCTTGAACAAAACAGAAGGAAATTTGGAATTAGAAATATTTCTTATGAAAATTAACAATGAATACAACAATCTATCTTTGACCAACAACCAATTAAGATCTTTGTGCATTAATGTTATATTTCTCCTGTAGCTGCATCTGAGTGCTACACGAGCAGCTCTATTCTGTATAAGTTGTAATTTATTTATATATTCTCCAGTGGCATTTGACCAAACTGCTGGGCAATAGTCGAGGTATGTCAATATTAGTGCTTTCGTTGCATAATTCCTAATGTTTGAAGTTAAGAAATTTGCATGTCTTCTCATAATGGATATACCTCTTCCCATTTTTGCAATAATATTACTAATATGTTTTTTCCATGATAATCTAGAGTCAACTATTACACCCAGCAGTCTGGTCTCATGCACCTGTTCAATAACTGCGTTGTTAATCTTAATATTAATTACAGGATTCTGTTTAATATTGTAATTTGAACCTAAAATCATGCAATTAGTTTTTACAGTATTTAATGCCAGTTTGTTTGATTTGACCCAATCTACTACATATTGTAATTCTGTATTTAAAACAGTTTCTAATTCAATTTGTGTACTTGCTGATGTATATATAGTTGAATCGTCAGCGTACATGACAATATTAGCCTTATGTAAAATATATGGTAAATCATTAGTAAAAATATTAAATAATAGTGGACCCAGACAGCTACCTTGGGGTACTCCACATGTAATTTTTCTGATACCTGAGAAACTGCCATTGAAAAACACTGTCTGTGTTCTATTTGACAAGTAACTGTACATCCATGTGATTGCAGATTGCTCAAACCCGTAACAGGATAATTTTGTTAATAGCAGGTTATGATCTATGATGTCGAAAGCAGCAGAAAAATCTAAAAATACAACACCTGTAATTTTTTTCTTTTCAGTCTCTCTAAGCCAATCATCAGACATGTGAGTCAGTGCAGTGGCAGTGGAGTGACTTTTTCTGTATGCATGCTGAAAATCTGTTAATAAATCATTTGTATAAAAATAGTTATTAATTTGATCATGTACTATAGTGTGTCTGTAAAAAACACAGAGGCCAAATAACTAAGCCAGAAAGCTCACAGAGATGAGAATTTAGATTTAGGCTACAAACCAGTAGCCTGACGTAGTCCGACTCAATTCTAGTCAGAATATGAGTCTGATACTGCTCCATAGAGCTGTGATTATGGGGCGTGTTTAGAAAGAACCAGGAAAAAAAATGCCTCTGCACTCAATTGGATAGACCTACAACCAATAAGAGCAACGGAGTGTATGTTAAGCGAGGCATAGTTGTTGTCCACAAAAATCAAAGCGTGCAGTTTCACGCCTAGAATAAGAAGATGAGACTTGATCACGTTTCTCTGTTCCTCTTTTAAAATTAATTTGCTGTCGATATCTTCTAGAACAGACCTAATAGCAGAATCTACTCACCCAAACTCTCCAGCGGCAGCCATTATTGTTGTCACCCTAGCGCGCTTTGGTCACGTGGTTGATTACGTTACTGTTGATCATCTGTCTATCATCGTATAAAGTCC